TTCTCCCTTCACTCCAGCTTAAAAGTATTTTTCTGGTACAAAAACCAGTAACACACAGTGAGTACGTTGTGTAATGCAAGTCTTTGAGTTGTGCTGGAGAAAACTTTACGGAGTGTTATAAACTAGGGCTGTCAAAATTAACTGGTTAACGCGGGTTAATCCATCATCATCTTAATCTGATTAAATTTTTATAATGCAATTAACCCATCTGCAGCGCAGAATGATTCAAAATCCCTGAAATGTCTCTGTCAACCCATTTCGGGCAGTTTTAGTGTGTTCCATTTGCCCTTGGAACTCGTATTCCGAGTCGGATTCCGGAGTTTTGAAGCCGGAAGTAACAACATGCGCTCCCGTTTCTCGGAGATCCGAGAAATATCCAAGAGCGCCTGGCTGCAGACACTAGGTGTGGAGCTCCACACTAAGCGGAAACACGTCACCTCCTCCCTTTATCAACAGAAGGGAAAGTTGTAGTTTTATACTGTTTAAGCACTACTTCTCATTTGTGGCTCATTACATCGGTCGCACACGCTATACCGTCCAACTTATCTGTGGATGTGTTGTTACGGAGTTTTATATGTAAAGCACCGTGCACAATGTGTTATCAACTGATATTGCTAACAATGGCAATTAACCGGGGTAGAATTGGACTTCATGATTAGTTGGATTATTTGTCGGACTTACGGTAGTTCGTGCTAATTGAAGATAAAGACCATTTAAACTGAGGTACCTTAAATCCGACAAGTTGTCCGGCTAAGCAAAAAATCTTGCTTTTTGATATGGGTTCATGGTATTGCACTTCTGTGGCAGATGGAATGCATCCGACTCATGTTCAAGATGTTCAATAAATATGTTAAGTGCATATATATTCCCTTTTTTCTTGAGTCTGTTTGCTCATGCAAAATTAAATGTGATTAATATAGATTAAAAATAAATTATATTTAATTGTGATTAATCGAAATTAATCCACAGCAACCCTGTGATTAATCTGATTAAAAATTTTAATCGTTTGACAGCACTATTATAAAGACAAGATCTCTGCGAAAAATTAATGCAAATCTGGAGGAAAATTAATGTTGAGATGTTGCATAACAATTCAACAAATTCGACACGATAAATGTGCACTGTAATTAAAGCTGAAGGAGGTCCAACAAAATATTAAAGTATGCAACTTTTTACTTTGGCCAGGCGGTACGTATATTTTGTCTTCATTTCAAAGTCCCCAAGGCTAGTTGACAGTATGCATTTAAGGATGGTGTTGACAGGACTCTTGGTTGAGCCCGCAGTTCTTGCAGCTTCCCCTTTCTGAACGTTGGCACGGCTTTCCCTCTTCCTGTACTCTGTGGCAGGCGGTGCGGTGGGCGGGTCGCTGGGATACTGGAATACCAGAGGAGAGTTCAAGCCACTTCCCCAGATCATCATGCAGCTGTCCATGCCGGAGCAGCAGAAGCTGTATGCAGACATCAAGGCCGTCCTGGGCTCGCTCGACTGGATGGACGCGGCGCAGCTGACATCGCTCGTCATGGGCAACGCTGTGCTCCAGCAGCAGGTGAAGGATGCCCTGCTCGGCTACGTGACCCAGACTCTCCAGGCGGAGGTGCAGTTCGTAGACTGACCTCACCGGATGTGGCTCCCCTTCGGCTGGGCTGGGCTGGGTTGGGCTGGGCTGGGTTGGGCTGTTTCTACTCTGGGAAGATGTTCACTCTGTGTATAAAGGCAAAACCAATGCAAGCTCCATCACATGAAATGTTGATCAAGGAAATAACACTTAATGATAGTATGAATTCTTGGCCGTCTTCTGCATGTGTCACTCCTTCCTCCTACTGTGATTTGACACTCCAGCACAGCACATGCAGGCCAGCAGCAATATGACTGCAGCCTGTGGCCAATTATGGACATATAACCCCAACTGGCCAGTTTTCCTAAATGAAACTCAACTGGAATTGACAGTCATAGTCTATTGGGCGAATTACAATTATCGTGTAACACTTGGTTAGATGGCAAGTTCTCAAACCTCTAGTTGAAAATCCACATATAAGGAACAATTAAGTAATCTTCTTACCTATGCTGTTTGAATTAGCAGTGGTGGTAAAATATGAAAGTGTATATGACATCATATGAAATGTATATGGCCTCAAGGGAGGGGAGCATGTTGTTTAGCTCATTGATCTCTTATGACTTTATAGGGAGAACAGTTTATGGCGGAATGGCTTTTTTTGTATAAGATTTGGGTGGGGGGCGCAATGGGCAGACCGTATAGTCAATAACCAAACCCTGATTGAACAAGCACCAGAGTAAAAAAAAAAAATAAAATTAAATACGCACATGTCGGTCAAGTTTTGGCCAATGGGATGTCAGAGGTTTTTGCCCATAAGAGAAAAGAAACTGGAATAGCTGGTTGTGCTTCTAAACAGTTTTTTGCTTTGTCAGTGCCTAATGTAACATTTACGGTTTGTAACGAAGATTCATTGTATACAGTGGGGACATTCTTATACTGAGATAAATAAATCATGTGTCTGCAATAAAATATGGTTTTTGAAAACTATCATTTCACATCATTAATCTGTGTCTTGGTCCATGTGATCTGGGAACTGAGAATCAGAGTACAAAAGATTATTTTATACTGCTAGGTCGTAAGTGGAAGTGGCGGTCATTTCAGACAAAAGTGGCTTGAACACATCAGCTTGAGTTGTTTCCCAGAAGTGGTGTAAGTTTCTGGCTGGGGGATGGGGGGGGGGGCGTGTGTCTGACCACTTTCCTGTATTGAATAGGGTGTGTAGGAGTGAGTCAAGCCACAGGCGGAAACCCCACCTTGTTGTGTAGGATGACTCTCTGTTGCCCTAGTAACCGGCCATAAGCTTATCCGTCTTCTCAGCGTTCCATCAGTCGCAGCTGGCGTTGAGGTAGCATGCTTCTGCTAACAGATCCCCAGAAACGCAAATCATACGAGATTCTGGGGCAGCAGTCAGAGACGAGGAGGATAGACATGGGCTTAGACAGCATGCAACCATGCAACTCTCACAGTCTGTTAGCTCAAGCTGTCCCTAAATGTCAGAGAGTGAGGGACATAGATCAATGGTTGATATGGGATTTTGTGGAAGTGAAATGACCAGACGGTAAAGACAGCTTTAGGAAGTGGACAGATTCTCCCTCAGCTTAAATATAGATCTTCATGCATCCTTCTAGTCCAGAGGTGACTGGTAATTATTGTTTGGTTTAAAATATATAAACCACCTAGCCAATTTTAGAAGAACAATTAATAAGTGGTACCAGAATAACTCGCCATATTACAATGACAAATAAACTGCAGCAGCATCATACTTCCTGGTGCGTGTAATATAGTTATGATTTACATATCTGTGATTACCTGTGAAAAGGCAGTGAAATTAGACCAGCTGGGCTTTTTACTTAGTTGTTTTGCAATATAATTTTTTTTTTGCAAAGCATATTCATCGAAATATTGTATGACTGTAACTATAATTAAAGCAAACATTGCAAACACTCTGCCTTTTTCTCAGCAGGTGGTAAGTAGATATAGCAACAGTCAAAAGTTTGGACACACCCACCCATAGAGAGGTTTATTTGTACTATTCTCCACATTTTAGAATAATTATAAAACGATAAACTCTGAGGGTTGGGACTCAGAAGGTTGCCAGGTCATATCCCAGGGTCAGTAGAGTAATCCCACCATTGGATCCTTGAGTAAGACCCTTAACCCCAGTTACTCCAGGGGCTGTCAGATCCTGCTTTCTCCTCTACATCAGTTTCATGAGGTGCCCTCCTGGGATGCTTTTCCAGCTGCCCTGAAGGAGGTCCCACATATATGCTGAGCATTTATTGGCTGCTTTTCCTTCACTCTCTGGTCAAACTCTTCCAAAACCATTTCTACGGTGTTTAGGTCCGGTGGCCAGGTCATGTGATGTGATACTCTCACTCTCCTTTGTCGGCAGCTTGGCATGTCCAAACTTTTGACTGACACTGTATGTTTATGTAGTATATTACAAGGACTTAGGACAGGTGAACATAGACATTTTAGGTGCAAGTTGAGGATTTTAAAGAATTTAAGAATTTAGAAATTAATTCAGGTGTAAAAAAGGCAAAAGTTTGTTTTACAATAAACTGTTTTGGAAAATTGGAACCTAAAATTGGAACCTAATTAGTCACATGTTAAACATTAAGAGCCTTTTGTTGCCATTCCTCTATGTTTAACAGCGACTCACAACTACCTACTTTTGCATGTGTCATCGCTGAATGGGAGGGCTGGTTCATTTCTGTTTTTCACAAAAAAAAGGAAGGAAAGCTGAAATTTCACAAGCCTATCCTCTGCACACTATCGCCCACTGAGTAAACTGCTAAAATCCCCGTCTGCTTCTAAAACTACCAGATTTCTGGAATACAGCTTTTACTAGTAGCCACTGGATATGTTTGTGCCTGTTTACAAATGCTGTAAGTCCGGTCTGTGCTGTTTAAGCCTGGCTTTCTGGTACGGGCAGCTTATGATAAGCCAGAAGTAAATCTGGGCACTTTTTCAGGAGTGTTTCCTGCTTCCTTATGAATGTGACACATTTTTGGACATTCAAGAATAAACAAACACGACATGGAAACATGATCTAAAGCACGTTTCAGGATGCCTCTGTGGCTGTGTTTGGAAAGTCACTGGTTTGAAACCCACGCTCGGCAGAGTAGCGACATCTTTATTGGGTACCTGAGCAAGACCCTTAACCCCCTGAAGTGCTAGAGGGATGCTGGATAAATGCCTGTACTCGGACCCCAAGCTGCAGTCATCATAGTATCGGTGTGGGATTGGTTCCAGGCCCATTGGAAGATACCAAAATCTATGGATACTCAAATCCATTATATATAATGGATGGTATTTGCATGTAACCTAGGCACATTCTCCCATATACTTTGAATCATCTCTAGTTTGCTTATACAGTCCGCCCTATGTATCAGCAGTTTCCACATTTGCAGATGAAATGTGTAATTTTTGGTGTTGGTGGTCAGTGTATGCATCCACGGTGTAGCACACTCTACTCCTACAGCGGTACCGCTCTGTAGCTGATGCTGGGGGAGTCTGCTTGACACGTATTTTCTTGTACGGAGGAAACTTACCCATCAATAATGTTCAATTTACTCTATTCACAATACGCAGAAATGTAGGCCTATTGCACTGATCGCAATGCCCATTTGTATCTATGTGAATAAGTAAATATGCCAAATTAGCACATTTACCATAACAATATAAAAAGAAAAGTTGCGAGTTCCTGCTCACCTGTACTCCATTAATGAACATCTGTGAACACCCATGTGACACATCATGTGACTCACAAATATGGCTCCTATGCAGGCATTTGGTTCTCTGCAGGGGCCCCTGGAACTAACTATGGAGGGCCAACTGTAATACCGAATACATTGGAAATGCTACAAACAGTTACACTATATTGCTTAGGGAATAATGGCAAGAAAAAATGGTTCAGAACAGATGCAGCCATTGTAGTAAATGTATAAAATATAAATACTTCACTGTCATATATATTAAACCACTCCCTCATCATTCTAGTTATGTATATTGGTGCTTTATCATCCTGATACACCACACCACCTGCGATGGGTTGGCGCCTCATCCGAGGTCATTCCCTGTTTTCCGTCCGCAATCGCCGTAATAGGCTCCGGACCCCTGCGACCCTGAATAGAATAAGTGGTTACAGAAAATAGATGGATGGATGGATATACAGCACCACCATCAGGGTACAATGTTTGAACCATTGGGTGAACATGGTCTTCCAGAATGGCCTGGTAATCCTTGGCAGTGATATGCCCATTTAGTGGGCCTAGTGAATACCATGATATTGCGGCCCAAACTACCCATGCTGCACTCTGGGAACGCAAGAGTCCAGGTGGAAAACCTCTCTGGGGCTTCTCCACACTGTAACTCTCCCAGATGTAGGAAAGACAGTGGAGAAAGACATCAGAGAACAATATATGTTCCACATTGTCCACAGCTCAAGATTTCCTCTCTTGGCACTGTTGAAACCTACATTTGGCGTTAGCGCGAGTGACCAAAGCTCCAACAATGAATATTGACCCTGTGGAGCTCCTGATGAACAGATTTGGTGGAAACAGAAAAGCTGAGGTGCACATTTAATTTTGCAGTGAGTTGAGCAGCTGTGGTCTTATGTTTTTGGATACAGTCTGGGTTAGGGCCCGGACGTCCCTTTCAGACAGTTTCCACAGTTACCCCGTGTGAACATGGTCTGTCCTTCACGGTGGTATGCCAACATTACCCTGGATACAATGGCTCTCGAAACACCACAAAGACTTGCTGTCCTGGTCACAGATACGCCAGTGAGATACGCACCAATAATTTGTCCTCTTTTGAACTCTGATATGTCTCCTATTATGCTGTGTGGATTGCGATATTTTATGTACAGCTGTGCTACTGCTCTGCTAATTCGACCTTCACACTCTGCTCTTACTGATGGAATGTGCAATCACTGAAGACCGGCCACCAGGCTATACATACATAGGCATGAAACCTCAAGCCCTGTATGGCAAGGTGTTTCAGTTTGATTGTGCAACCCCTACGTGTGTGTAGAAATCCGAGATGGAACATGTGAAAACGAAAGAATTCCCGTGTACATGTGCAAAATGGCAAATAAAGCATCATTTCATTTTCAAGTTTATATTTGATATGCAAGCTGCTCATATACTGCTCAAGATTCGGTTATACAGTAGTACATAACCCGCTATGGTGACCTTTCTTGAGATGTGAGTGGCAGGCTGTGTCTCACTCTTACAGATGTTTCTGTTGTGAGTAAGGTGATGTCACCATTGGGCCCCTAAGCACGGCCCTTAACTCCCAACTGCTCCAGGGACCGTCTGCTCTCTCAATTCTGTGGCAATTTGTATAAAAGTGTCTAATAAATATAATAATATGGCACTTTCAAGACCCATTTTGTATGGAAGCCCTGAAACATATATAACTGGAATTATTCATAGCTATATTTCCATTCTTTCCTCACATTCAAAGCTCAGAGACAAGAATGACTTTATTTAACTTAGATCATTTGTCGCCTGGGAGATGACATTTGACATTTTCTTGCCCTTTGTACGCTAAAATCACTTTGACATGAGGTGTAACTGTTCTTATACCTGTAGAGAATGAACAAAGCACAAGTGTTTTCCCTCCAGGTTAGGCACTGGAGAGTAAAATGGGATGATTGTTCCTAAACTTCATGTTTGGAATGCATGATAAGTGTAATAAGCACACTCCCTTCAGGATCTACTGTGGGTCACCCATGGCCTGAACTGGTCAAAACCGCATTTGGCTGTCAGGTCATTAAGCAAGATGAAAGAGCTAAATACCTCTGTGTCCTCATTACATTCTACTCATTTAGCAGAAGCTTTTACCCAAAGACACAGAAAGTACCTGAGGGTTAAGGGCTTCGCTCAAGAGTCCAATGGTGAAATCACTTGATTGACCTTGGGATTTGAACCAGTCACATTCTGATCACAGACACAGAGTCCAAATCCACTGAGTCAGACAGTGCCCCCTAATAACTAAAAAAAAAATCCAAAACACATTTTCATCTGCAATCTTTAATGACATAAAGTGCAAATTCCTTCTTTAACAAAATCTGAGACAAATAAAATAATGTAAACATTTTAAAAATAGATCAGAATGACACGCAGAACACCAAGACACAGGCTGAGTGAAAACATGGTAAGGGAATGGTAACTATGTGGAATTCTGCATTCTGCATTAACTCCTTCACTGACAGTTTACTCGATTCGGTAATGTCTGTCCCTAAAGAAAAGGACACCACGAGTAACATTATTGTAGTGTTGTGCTTTGTGGCTGTATACTGGCAGCATACGTTTTACTCTCAGCAGTTATTCAACACCAAAAATTAAACAATACAGATCACAAGAGACTACAAAAATTATTAATCACAATCAAAAATGTCCTCGTTTTTTTTTTTTTTTAAAAAAAACAACATAAAAAACTATATTACAAATTTAAAGTTAATTTTCACAGGAGCAGCAATTAAAATATTATATGAAGTGATCAAGGCAGTTTTGGTTGGTAGTGTATTAACATTTTTATTCATATTTTCATGACGGGAAGGATTCGGTCTGGAAGGTTGTAGGTTTGAATCCTCTGGCCAGCAGAGTCATCATGTCATTGTCAGGTCCTTGACAAAAGCCCTCAAACCCAAATCCTCTGGTGGCGCTGGATGGTGGTCAACCTTGAGCTCTCTGATGGAGATCAAGATGAGATGGCTGAAAAGTGAAGTATCCCTATGTAGCTTAGATAAATGGCTGATGAAGTACGTCTTATCTTATTCCCATTAATGGTGAATATCCTTCATTATCTTGAGGTAATACATTATGTCCGCGTTTGTGCTAGTTGTCCATTTAGTACCATCTTTCAGCGGCTTTTGGTCTTTGGTGGTGACAGAGGAACCCCGAGGAATATACTGGATGGAGGTCCGTGTGCATTCCAGCACGCGGTACCATCAGGGCCCTCGTGCAGCGGCCGATCTAGCTCATCGTCGTCCGACCACTCCTTGCCGTCGCTGCCGCCGCGGCCGCGGTTCTGTGCGTTGTCCTGCAACATCTGGTGGCACAGTTGGCAGACGCGCACGGGCTTCTGGGAGATGTGTCGCAGCACGTAGCGGCTGCGCGAGCAGGTGGCGCAGACCACGAAGCCGCACTGACGGCAGTGGTGGCGCCGGTGCCTCATGCTGAACTTGCTGCAGCAGCGCATGCAGATGGCCGACGCCTTGTCTGGGATCCAGGCGGCAGCGAGCGGAGCCGTTGGGACCTCGCCGGTGCGTTCCATCCTCCGCTGTCGGCAATCCTCGATGTGCTCAATCCAGGCGACCTTCTCCTCGGCCGACGCCGCCGACACGCAGAAGGACTTGCGCGGCGTGCGTATCAGCCAGCGGTTCTTCAGCTCCGGCCCGTCCTCCATGTCTTCCAGCACCACATTCTCCAGGGGCACCACCTTCTGCCGCTCACACCAGCGACCCTCCACCACGATGCTGCCATACACCAAGATGTCGTTGAACAGGAAGAACATCTTGGCCTGCGGCCGCCGCCTGCACAGCTTCAGCAGCCGGCCCTCACCCACCAGCACCCGCCCCGGCCTTGCCAGGACCTGCCCCGTGGTGCTGAAGAGGTTGTCCACCGCGGCAATGCGCTCGGCGTTCTCTTCCGAATAAGCCAGTTGGTCCACCATGGTGAGCACGGCTCACACCCTGCGGAAAACAGGAAGTCAGGAATTGGATCTCATTTCAATGTCAGGCAAGGAAGGAGCATGCTGGACCATCCTATGTAAGTAAACAATCTGGCCAACTGCAGTATCAACAAGTACCAAACACCTGACCCCTTTATCCAAGGCATCTTACAGTAGAAGGAAGGGTTATCATTTATGTGTGGTCAACCTTTGTGTTGTTACCAGAATGCACTACTTTGTGAGCTATAGATGCAAACACTGTAATAATAATAAGTGAATACCAAGACCTGATATAAACCAAAACAATGCCCCCCCAATCCACAAATAAATCCCTCCTTCCCCTCACTGGGTCTCATAGTTCTGTTTGCTGTCCCTCCCAGAGAAAATTTTACAGCAAAAAGTTATTTATCACTGAGAAATCCTTCCTGAACTAGGGGATGAAACAATGGTTACCTTGATACTCTGTGACGCTGTGTGAAAGCTCTTTCTCTTGTTTCTCTCAGCGGGTACTCTGGAGCGGGCAAGGAGATGCCTCTCGTATAAAGAGCGGTAGTCTGTCCTCGGTGAGAATGACAACCTTTCTGAGGATCAGCATTCAGTGCATGGGCTTTGAAGTACACGGCACTGATGCAAGCGGGGGGGGGGGGTGTGCCCTTTTATGGTTCACTTCCTGCTAAGCAGGGGAGTTCCACAGCACTGTCAATAAGACAGGCTGGGCTTGTTTTGTCTGGTTTTCCCGTATGAAGTATATTTCTGGTCTGTTTAAAGCTGATTATGGACTTAGGGACACCATGTCATGGGTGCTTTTTTTTGTACAGATGCGCAGAAACATAAACATGCGTGTGGGAGAGAAGGGTCTCGACCCAAACCCCCAGAGCAGGCTGCCGGCATGTTATAGGGCCCCTCTCCATGTCTGGGGCCTCTGAATCATTAAAAGTTTCCTTCCCCTTAATATGCCTTTGCAAGCTGGTATTGTAGTGTTAGTCATCTAAGGTAAGATAAATTTAATTTACATTAAACATGGCAATACTTTGGGGTTTTCCAAATCCAAATCCTGGCACTTAGTATAGCATGCACACACATACAGTATGCGCGCACACGGGCATGCACACAAACACATGCACACACAAAAGCGCGCACTCATTCACGCACACACACACATTAATGGGTAGAATGAGAATATTACTGACACTTTTCAAAGAAAAAAAAAAAACTACGTCACTGTCCGCAGAATCGCTTGCTTCATTTCGTAAATATTCAAGATTATTTACATGAAAATTGCGTACAATCGTTTTAAGAATGCAGGTCATTGATGTCCAGGGATCGTCAGCCTGTCCGTCGCGGGCAAACGTGTTCGTGACATGGTTCATTTTGAATGAGAAGGAAAAAAACACTATGTACACTACGTGTTTAAATACCATGTCCGTAGTAAAATTGCATTTTAATCAAAATGTCCATATGAAATGGATATTTTGTTGGCCCCTGTTGATGTCATTCATTTGCATTTTTAAAAGATCAATTTTAAAGTAGATCCTCGACTGACTATTTTTTCCCCCATTTTCGGCTCTTACGTCACTCAGCTGTCCTCACCGGCTCCGAAGCCAAAAAAGGAGCGACCGATGCGCCAGATTTCAAGCAAACACCATACGGTCCTGGCCGGCCCTTTAATTCATTTCTATAAAATATTACAATTTCCCTCATAGCTAGTTACAATCAACTCCTTAACATCAGAAATTCAATTGTAAATGGTTAAAATGTGTATTTCTGATACCAGAAATTCGACTTTAACCAGAAAAAGTGCATATTATTGATGTCGGAAATTAACTTTTAACTAGTTAAAATCCAGTTCTTGATATCAGAAATTATATTTTAGCTAATGAGATTCAAAACGTTTTTCTCATTTATTTCAACAGGATTTGGAATTTGAACTAGTTAGAATGCCAGTTTCTGATATCAGGAATAAAGTTTTAACTAATCAAAATGCCACCTTGTCGATATCAGAAATAACATTTTAGGTGCTAGAAAATCCAGTTTCTGATATCAGGAATTCAATTGTAACTAGTACTAATTCAGTTTGAATTATAACTAGCTATAGTTGAATTCCTGATATCAGAAATTGATGTTTTAACTAGTTAAAACTTATTTTTTACTAGTTGCAACTGAATTGCTGATATCAGAAATGATCATGTTGACCCTGACACACACTACGATTGATGCAGAGATAATGATTCATGTCACCTCATTAAACATCACCAGGTTCACCAGGTCCACTGCCAGACAATATACTTCCTAAAAACCAACTGACCTATAATTTAAATATCTGAACTGAATTAAAAAAATTTCAATGACAAAGTCCATATGTTGTATATGACATAACAGTTCTTCATTTACAAACAAATGTAAGCCATTGATATTTTCATTCTCATGGTGGCAAAAAGACATTTTGATGACTCTACTTCAGCAAAACCAGACTTTGCGATCTTGGTCTATTTTTTATCTCAACAATGGCTCCCCGTGGTCTTGCGGCTTTTTGGCCCCACAGTAATGTGAGATGCAGACCCCCCTTCACTTCCCTTAGGTTGTATCACATATACGTGACTAACGCATCCACGATTCCGTCATTTCCCTTTTTATTTTCACCACTGCTCGATCGGCCTCGTTCACATGCAAGCCGCTGTCTGTGCCCACTACACAATGGGGAAATACCACACGTTTCTCAGTACAGACTGACCAGCAGTTATTCTACTAAAAAGTGACTTAAGCCCTGTGTAATGTTAGCTGTTATTTGGCATCACAGTCCTGGAGTTTTCCAAAAGATTTATTGTACAGGTGGCTCACATTAATGCAGCCCCATATGTCATTATACCTATATAGGCTACTTTTATGTGGCTGACACGGTTTAAGTGATAGGAGCCGACTTTCTGAGTTTCAGCAGGAGGATTGAGACAAACCACAGTTTATTCTCTAATTATGTGAAACTTTATTCTTAAGCATGTTACAGTCCTTGTTAAATGGTGCTTGCCGAAGGACTGTCAAAATCCCCCCACAAAGGTCATCAACTTCAGGACATACAAAGATAAGAAAAGACCAGAAAATTATATTGTAGACTACAACATTTGACAACAAAATCCCACGATTGCAAATTAAGATATTTCACAGAATTGACACTGATGTGGTGTAAGATTTAAATCTTCTGTACTTCCCCATGTAATTAACCCCCTATTCTCAGACGCGGACAATAGCAATTTGTGTGCGTAGGTAACCTGCCACAGGTATGAGAGTAACAGGAGAGGAATGTGGTCTTTCTGGTGTCCTTCCATGCTGGTTGGTAGGTAAACATAGAACCTATTGGCAAACATCTAATAAAAGCAGTCAGCCTACATACCAAAGGCCCAAACTATAAGATGTCATTTTATAATTACACATTTTACCTGGTATAAGGTACAAGCTCTGGAGGATAAAATGTTTAACCCTATAATGTCATATGTATCATATTTACTACATAAGTTTCCGAGACCTCTATGTGAAATGCTGCTTTCACCAAATGCCTGTTGTATACGATATGACGTCATTTGCCCTCTGGTGGATGGACCATGTTCTACAGATGGTAAAGGGCATTTTTAATAGCAGATTCCAAGACATCATGTGACCAGCATTCATCTCATGGGGAAATATTGGCTATTTCTGGAACGGTTACGATAAGTAAACCTTTTAAATTGTTGCCTATAATTTAAAGTGAGTCTTCAGAACTAAAACAACTCATGTTTTCTCAATATTTCATTCAATGTTGAAAATCTGTATCAAATATGATACTGCCGTTATTTACGATTGTAAGATGTGCCATAGCAAATTATCCAATTTCACTTAATTGGTCTAAAAAATGTATTATAATTTGCAAATAATATGCCATTCTCGAGTGTCTGGGCTGTAATAGTGATGTATTCTAAAAAAACAAAGCTATATTTCAACATTACAGTGATCCCCTGCTATACAGTGGTTCAGCTACCGCGCCCCTGCTATATCGTGGATTTTTCCCTGACCTGTCGCAGTTCTCTGCCTATCGCGTATCTTGCTTGTGGTCCGATTGTTTCAGTTTTTTTAGCCCTACGATGGCTCCCAAGCATCCTGCATCTTCTAAGCCTTCTGGTAGTAGTGAGCCTAAGCGCCAGAGGAACACCTTGACCATTCAGGAGAAGGTAAAACCCCTGGATATGCTTCAGGAAGGAAAGCAATACGCAGACGTCGCTCGCCATTATGGCTTGAGTGAATCGACGGTACGATACATCAAGAAGGATGAAAAGAATATAAGAACCACTGCATCACTTTCCTTTAGTCAAACAGGAAAGAGGGTGGCATGACCTCAGAATAAAGCCATCGTTAAAATGGAATCACATACATCGTATACATTACATATTATTATTATTATTATTATTAGTTTTATGTTACTCATATCCTTAGTCCGACATCCACATATCACATGTGTGGGAGGGGTGTTTTAAAGCTTAAACTATAAAAAAAATGTTTACATGGTCTTTCTATATTGCATATTTTCACCTATCTCTGATGGCTGTGGAACGTAACTTCCACAACAAGCGGGGGATCACTGCATTACTCCCATTTAACGTAACTTCCACAATAAGCGGGGATCACTGCATTACTCCCATTTAACGTAACTTCCACAATAACCGGGGGATCACTGCATTACTCCCATTTTCCACAACATATCTGTGTGAGCTGAGTTTTTCAAGCAAGACTCATATAAAAACTAAAAACAAAGAGAGACTGAGAGCTGTTGAGGAAGAGCTTCATGTGTCTGTCTTCAGTTCCTGCCAGGATATCAGCTTTGTGTTCATCCAAACAGGCTCAGGTTTCACACTGAGTGAGTATAAATAAATTGAGAGACTATTTTGTCATTACTAGGCTACAGTGTCATTTTGTAACATTTTTGGTTGGTGGTGTACTGTGGGATTTTTTTTCAATGTAAAAAATGTGCCGTGGCTCAAAAAAGGTTGAAATACAGATTTATGAGATGTTATGGCTGAATCTTTCTTCTTTATACCTCATTTTTCAATGCCATGTACATTTTATATGCATCACAATACAATAATTATATTACTCAATTATGATTGAAATGATCTCCTTAGACAGAGTGGAATGTAAGATGTAACCATAGTTGTCAGGTGCCCATTGAGATATCAATGTAACAATGTTTGCTTGTATTATTTTGGTATCTTCAGATAGCCAAAAAATAAAGTGTTGAGGATATTTTGACTATGATGCTGGATGGAAGTACATGTGACATGGAGCAGTTGGAGAAGGGAGATGACGGTGGGAGTGATGAGGAATGGACTGCTAAGGCAGTACCTCCTGCAGAAGGTTCAGACAGTAGTGATGAAGATATGAGAGGTGAAAGTGTGGAGGAGATACATGCAGAAGTACAAATAGTAGATGCAAGATCCGGTGTGGCAGACCACTGTCCTCTCAAACAACCAGTAAGTAACGCCTCCATGGAAAAGACAAACCACTGCTGCACCTCACTGTGCGAGAGGACGGCATCAACATGGGAAACAAGCCAGAGATGCGAGAATTGCACAGGCAGGTCCACATGTCTACTGTGGAAAATGCAAAGTACGTCTCTGTCTAAATAGGGACAGAAACAGCTTTTTGGGCTACTATGCAATCTAAAAATACTGGGAAAAATAGTGTTTGGCCTATAATACACAGAAAAATGTTGCAAAATGACTTAAAACAATCTAAAATACAAGCAATACTATGCAAATCATTTCAGTTGCATTTTGAAAACCAAAGGTTAACCAGCGATAACTGGTGTATCAGATATCACACACACACACGTTTTTCAATGTTATTTGGGTCAAAATATACATAAAAAAAATAAACATTGCAGATTTGACAGATTTGAATATGTTCCAGACCCCAAAACGACCCTGATCAACAGTAGTTAGAAGACGCATGGGCAAACA